AACAACAACATTAACATTATTAATGAGAATAAAACTAATGATAAATCCATATTCCCAAAAAAAACAATATTAAATGTAATAAAAGTAACTAATGAAATACATATACTAATACTACTAATAATAGCAACAGCAACAAGTTATAATAATAATAATAATAATAATAATGATAATGATAAAAGTAATTACAATAACAATAATAATAATGACAGCGACAGTACCAAAAATAACATAAAAAACAATAATGACCAAAATAATAAAGATAATGAAAAAAGATAACACCTTTACTTAACGGCATTAGTAGGAACATCATAACAAGAGTGATAATGGTAATAAAATCACATAATTCGGAAAGAGGTCCTAGTCGACAACAGAAATAATCTTTATTATCGATGGAAGTACTAATAATATTATTAGTACTTCCATCGATAATAAAGATTATTTCTGCGGCAATTAGCATAGCACCACTGAGCCCTACCTACGGGCTTATCAGCACTCGTGAGAAAAAAAAACCATAAAACTTCCATTATAAACATGTAGACCAGATAGAGCTTGTAGTGCTCTGCAACAAAAGCAGCTCAAACACTATCTTGCAAGGAGATACGCGGTCAAGGTTGCTGACCTTTGCTGGTGCGCTGACGGAACGAAGGCCTCGGCGATGACTTGAGACTCGACGAAACCTCGATAAAAATTCTATCTCTACGGATCTCTACGGGTCGTATCTGACTCTGTATTTCCGTTGTATTCGCGATAAATAACATGCACTAAAGCAAGTTAATAAAAAAATAAAAAAACAGTAAAACCACTACGAATAATAACACCTATGTTAACAATGATAATTATAAACAATAACAAAACTGATAATGCCAACAATAAAAAAAGGCGACGCTATACCATATCAGACATCAACAGCAATAAAGATTAAATAAAAAAACAAATATCCACAGCAGTAACATCATTGACAGTATCACTTAACGATAACACTAGTTTAAAATAGAAGCGCCAAAAGAGTTTCGTCATTCAGTAGACGCACATCCGCCGGCGGGAAAGGACGCATGCACTCGGAGCTTTAACAGTTTTCTCAAGAGAAGAGGGGTAGGGGGGGTAGGGGTAAAGGATGGGGAGGTGAGGGGCGGGAGGAAGAGGCAAGTATGAATGGATGATGGGAAGGAGACTGGGAGGTGTGGTCAGGAAAAGGGGGGGGGGGGACGGAGCGGAAAGAGAATAAGCGAGAGAGAGAGGGCGAAAGAGAGAGAGAGAGAGAGAGAGAGAGAGAGAGAGAGAGAGAGAGAGAGAGAGAGAGAGAGAGAGAGAGAGAGAGAGAGAGAGAGGCGAAGAGAGAGAGAGAGAGAGAGAGAGAGAGAGAGAGAGAGAGAGAGAGAGAGAGAGAGAGAGAGAGAGAGAGAGAGAGAGAGAGAGAGAGAGAGGGCGAAAGAGAGAGAGAGAGAGAGAGAGAGAGAGAGAGAGAGAGAGAGAGAGAGAGAGAGAGAGAGAGAGAGAGAGAGAGAGAGAGAGAGAGGGGGGGGGGGGGAATGAGAGACCCTCGGAGAGCGTTCAAAATAAGGTACCAAACAAATGAATGATAAAAAAAAATGATAATCACTATACCATAATGATAATGATAACACCCAATAATAAAATAATAAAGAATAATAAAAGCAAATAACGACAATGATGACAGCAATAACAACATTAACAAATACCAAAATGCCATAAATGATAATGGGCCCTTATCCTTATCACAACAGATTTCTTTTTACCCCGGGCCCTTCAGTTGGAGCAGCGAGTTGCATAGTCAAGACCCCAGTCAACCCTGAAGTGACCCCAGCAACAAGATATCAGTGACAGGCGGGCGTATGCACTGGGCAAGACATTTTATCAGTCGCATACATTCTGTCGAGGTGAAACACCGGTTCTATTGTATAATGTGTGTGTGTAGATTTCGTTTTCCGTATACAGCAAAGGAAATTGATTATGGTGTGTTGATTATAACCATGAGAATTTCGAAGACATTGCTGATTATCATTGCGAGTATTATTATCATCATTGCATAGTCGTTATTCCCCTTCGTCCACCATCTAAGAAATTTTCAAAGACTTCTGACGAACATGTGATTAATCGACCGGGATTATGTTATCACTGATTCTCATAATAGAGGATCCCTTATATAGTTGCTAACAATATCGTCTACTAAATACATTCCCATAAATACTATCAATCTTTCTTAACTATTCTTATTCACCATCGCAAAAAGAAAAAAATAAAATAAATGAATAAATAAACCTATTTAAAGGCAACAAACGAATTGCCGAGTTCTATTTCTTCTCACACCTGTCGTCAGCGCGAGAACAAGACGTCAGATTCACATGACTAAGATAAAGACGCGACATATATCCAGCTCTCTGGCATGAGATAAGGCGGGAGATAAGGTGGGGGGGGAGAAGGAAGAGGGGGGGGGAAGAGGGGAAGGTGACAAAAGGCCTTTATTAGTGCTTTGTGCCCAGTATCATCTGCGTGCGCCTGTGTGTCCTGGTGCTGTTGCTGTGTATCACTTACGGTCTCTACCAGTGGACTGAGTGTGTGTGATTTTAAGTCTAACTGAGAGACATTTTCACCCTAGAAAGGAAGGGAAGATAAAATATCATCCGGTTGGAAAATAATATCTCTGAAACTTCCTCTACTTCTTATCAGGTTTTCGTGTGATTCGATACGTTTCGTGGATTCAAGTCAAATTGTCTTACGTTGGTTTCAAGGAATAAGGACGAAGGGTATTAAGAAAGTAGTTTTTGTTTATATAACTGTTTCGTTATGTGTATACTGTAATTTTATACGAAATAGATAAAAATATGTCGAAATTTCGCCGCGGACAAAATTTCAAAATATTTTCAAAATGGAGAGCACATAAGCGTTCTTAATCCAACTGACTGATATGCTAATTTTTCTTTTCATTTTCCTCGTCTTATATGCTCTTGTTATCGAATTGCATAAGATGATGGCACTTATGAAGAAAATTTATTAATCTGTTATTTTAAATATTTATATACAGAAGACAGTCACAAAAGCTCCTTCGACATACGAAGCAAGGTACGTCAGCAGCAAAAAATGATTCACTGGAGGAAAATATGCACGACTGTTACTTCATTTATAACATCGTCATACATGTACGCTGACTCATTTTCTCCTTACTTAGCACACCCACGAAGAAACTAGGGCTGATTTAATTGTTATACCGGCAACGAAGTCACGATCTTTACTAAAACACTGAGTTGATATCAAAAGTTGTTGAAATAATGAGAGAAAAACGAAAAATACCATGCATTCCCAAGTCCGAACGCACATGTACGCACGCACGTACGCACGCTCGGGGTACACACCTTTTCCTTGCAAGTTTGAGCGTGATCTCAGAATCTCGGTCTATACGAACCTCTAAAGAAAACTCACGTGAATTGGTATATATTTAGTGATAGCTGGATAACTAGAGATTCATTTTTGACAATAGCCAGGTCCCTGCGTTGTCAAAAAAGGCGGGAATTTACCATAATACGTCCTCAACTTTTATCCTGCTTCTCAACATGCCATGCCATCATCTTCTCTTAAATCACCGGTCGGTTTCAGTTCATCCTCTTCTGAGCCATATTCCGAAGGGTTTATCCCTAGTGACCAACGTGACCCTACGACCAACCAAACCACAAAACAGCAAATCCCACAAATCCCCACCTTTGAACCACACAGCAGCATCAGTTAACAATCCAATTTAACTTCGCTGAACCTTTCGTCGACGTTGTTGCAAATAACCACCTTGCCAAGGGAGACACGCATTTCCCTTGGCGACGAGAGCTTGAAGTCCACTCCTAGAAACCTCGGGGAGATTTGGAACACGAGAGTTACTCACATGGAGAGCGTGGAAGAAGGAGTTTGAAGTCGCGACATTCTCTCGCACTCTGGCTGGGGCGGAGGACGAGCCCATCAAGTGACGTCAGGAGGCCCTTATTTCCTCTTTTGACAAGCTCCAGGGGCGCGGGGGCTCCGTCCATCGCACTCTGGGACATATCAAAGCCGTGGGATAAATGCCTCAAACTTTAAACGGAAATGTTGGACACCAAAATATATTCGAAATGTTTTGAGAAATGTAGGAAGTGTAAACAAACAACAGCTGATATTGAAAGATGGCTTTTTCATCCGGCACAGTTACGGGACATGCATGCCAGCGCGGGGAATTGGCAGGAAATAGGAGCAAAACCCATTTCGTAGGCTTGTAATATGCGAACTTATAATTGATTCAGCGAATGAATGCTACTTATTGTAAGTATTAACGGAAAGTTTTTATTTTTCCAGAGTCGTGTATCAAAGTAGCGCTAAAGTCGTAGAAAAGTGTCAGAAGTGATATGACAAAGACAAGTACGTTTCAGGATTAGATTAGAAAACTCGGGATTTCCAGAATCATGAGCGGTACGTGATAACTTCAGGAGCGTAGGACCAGGTGAAGGAAACGCCACAGAAGAAGGAGCTCCATGAAAGGCCCCTTAAACGCCGTTTGGCCGGGAAGAGGACGACCGTGAGGTGCGAGGACTAGAGTCAAGGATGGCACGAAGTCCATCCCCGTTGCCTTTCCAGTTGGCCATCTGCCTTCTGGCCCTGCCGCTCTTCTCCCATGCTGAAGGCCATGACCCCTCCCACAACACCGCCTCGAAGGACTGGACCCACCGCAGTCCCCATCAGGAGGGATGGAAGAAGCAATTAGCGCAGAAAAACGATCAGAAGCTAGGCCATGAGAAGGTCCATCCACTTCCACTCATTTGGCCAGTGAAGAGCAAAAAGATACATCACGAAACACCGAATGACATCATGGCCTATGATTACCCACAGCATGACAGGTACCATAATCCATACCTTGCCAAACCACAAGAGGTGGAGGACCAGGTGTTGGATTCGGAAGAGGGGGCAAAACCAGTCGTTTACAGAAGTGCGGGAGTGACGAAGAGCTCTGCCTCGAGAGATGACAA